TGCTTTTAAGAACTTTTGGACTGATGTTGGCCCAGAATTAAGGCAGCTAGTGTGGCCCAATAGCTTATTATCAGAGAGCCCAAACTAGTGATTATATTAGGCCAGTAGCGACGCAGCCCGCTAGCCCCCCAACCCTTCTATATTGCAATTTGCAAGTAAATCAATACCTGCCATTGGCGCCAAAATCCACCGACTTCATCTTCCCCTCTAACTGAAACAGATTGCACATTCGCCCCTCTGTTCTTGGCTTAATCGTCGGCGATGGCTAATTCCGGCCGCAAAAAAGGCGCTTACGATGAAATGTATGATAAGATTCTTGATCTCCGAGAACTGATGGAAACCACCAGAAAGAATATTCAGAAATTGCTGGAAGACATACTTGAGGCGGGAATGGAAGATGATCTGGAAGAGATAGCTGTAAATGAGCATGAGAAATTTGAAGACTTCCACTATAGGTTTCGTGTATTCGAGAGGGATTGCATCAATTTGGTACGTAATCCGTCGGAGTATGATTCGTTTCACAAAAGGTTTCAAGAATTCGCGCAAGAACTCAATAAAATGGACCAGGAGGTCAGCGAATGTCTTCAACTATTAGAGGATATTGAGGAAGAAGAGGAAGAAGAGGACCGGTCACCGGATCATCTCGAAACAGAGGAACTTCAAGTGTCCGGTGATGCAGCCGGTCACACTATGTTTGGGAATCTTGAGGGAAAGATCTTGTCCCAATCTGATATGCAGGCGATGGAAAAGTTCTATGATAAGAAACTTCGGGAAAAACCTCCATCACCTTCGAAGTATCCAACACCGAAGCTGAGTCCTGAGGCGGCAGCGAAGGTGAGTACCGAGGGAAAGAAGAAAATGGAAGTGTTCAATCTGTTACCAATAGGTACCAATTGGAATTTGTGTGATGTCATAATGCATGTGTATGAATTTCAACGTACAGAGTCGCAGAAAATAGAGATGCACATTGATAAGGCATTCACCCAGAATCCATACCATGGTATTAGTTCATCAAAAGGAGAAAGGGTATTGGATTGGGGAGCTGTGTCGAAAGCGAAGGAAGTGTTGCAAGAGTCCAAGGCTAAGATTCAGAGACATCAGAATATGATTCCAGGATTGTTTAAGATCTGGGTTTTACGTGTGGAGAATCAAATGTATAATCTTGTTCTTTATCTCCGCTGCATCATGTCAGGCTATGAACCAGCAATGGCAAAGTTCCAGGAACTAAGAACTTCCCTTGGAATATATAGACAGAGAAATATTGGGAGGGTTCCGATTGTAGCACACAGGATCCTTAAATTGCTGGAAATGCAGGTACCGGAGGAGAAGCAATCGGAGTTGAACAGAGATCAGCAAGAAGAATTGTACAGGGATTGTGGTTTTGATCAGGTGATTGGTTCAATTCAAAAGATGATTTTGCTATGTAAATCTCTGCTGGTGGTTTCTGGGGTCGCTTATCGTGCAAGGAGAATAAATGCAAATGAGCTGGAGAGAAGTGAGCAACTGTTGGGAGAAGCTGAGGAGGAACTGAAGGGAATGGAGAGGAGGATTATGGAAGCAAGGAAGAATGTTCAGAAAAAGAGGAAGAGGGAGGATGAAGATGGTGGGAACAGAAGTGGGACTGCGACTGGGACTGCAACTGCTAGTGGGAGTGGGACTGAAGATGGTGGGAACGGAAGTGGGAGGACTGCGACTGGGACTGCAACTGCTAGTGGGAGTGGGACTGAAGATGGTGGGAACGGAAGTGGGATTGGGAGCTTGAAAATGTGAGAGAAGGGCAGAGGAAAGATGATATGGAGGGATTGTTGATTTACATGCTGTACTTGGGTGATAGGTGTGGTGGTGTTGTAGATTTTTGAGGAAAAAGGTTTTGAGTTTGGTCATTTTTTGGATTTGGGTTTGGTCCAAGGTAAAGAGGACCAAGTTTATATGTTACCATGACACTTTACAATGATAATAAAGAGTTCTTGTTTTGATATTCCTCCGTGGAGTTATTGAGCAAATAGATTTGATAAATACCATTATAGGACAAATCAAAGCTAGGGTGAAAATAAGAAGATAATTTTGACATTCAATTTCATTTAGAACACAAGAAATGTTGCGTGAATTTTTATGGCGCAGGGTGTCAAAAGTTGAGACCAAATAATTTAGAAGTCTACACTTGATTCAATTTGAACTCAAGCAAAAATATGTTAGCCATTAATTTAAGAATGAAAATTGTAAAACTTAAATTATGTCTTAATTTAAAAGGAGAAATTACACTTGCCATTTTTATAAATTTTTTTTTTTAATATTTTGTCATGGGGTCGACTCGAACCGTTACCTTTGGGGAAGTGGTATGAACTTTATAAGAGTAGCCAAAGCCACTTAGTCCATAGGTCAGGTTCGCCTTTTTTATAATTAATGATAATTACATCTTAAATATTAATAGTATTAAAATGTGTATTTAAAAATTCATATTTTGATATGTGAGCAGAAAACCACTCTTAATAGTGCTTTTTTCTTGCTAACCATAAAAAGATTTTATTTGGTTCTCATTTTCTCTTCATTTGAGAAAAATTTTGGGAAAATCATGAACAAAAGATAAACCTTGAGATATATGTAATAACTTTATTTTATTAAAATTTTTTACTTTTACTTCATTAAAATTTTTTAGCAAAATGAACTGAACTTCATGTTTAGCTTAAATTCAATCTCAAAAGCAACCTTAATTATTTTAGTGTAAGAAATGAATTCAACTCAAGATTTTAAGCTATACACAGGATGCAATAAATTTGATTCAAATAAATATCCTAACAAAATTATACAGTGAATCTAGAAAAAAAAAAATTTTGAACAATATCCTTCTTGATAGATAGATCCTTTCTTTTTTCTCCAAATAGGAATGGTAATTTTAACTGAACTAGTTCATCACCTTTTAAAATGCATCATCCCAAAATTGGGGATGTTCCTCACACATTCACTTGTATGTAGCTCAAATTGTACCCTTCTAGTGCCATACAACAATTCTCATTTCTTCAATGTCAAAAAAAAATTAAAACTTAAAAAAAAAAATTTAAATGAAGTGGCAAGAAAACAATTTGAAGCCCAATTTCCTAAAGAAAAAAAGGTTTGCAAGGCAACCTCCCAAAATTTTTTTAAAAGAACTTATTTAAAAACTTATTTTCTAATTAATTTTTTTAAAAACCAATTGTAGACATTAAAAAATTCTTTAAAAAATAAAATATTTTTACTCTAATAAAGTCTTAGAGGTTGGGTAGTGAAATCTTTAAAGAAATATTTTCTCATAAATTGAATTAAATTTATTTATAAATGACTAAATCATCCTTAAAATGAAGGGTATTTGAGGTCATTTGGCAAGTTTCTTTTGACTATAAATAAGTCATTCATTTGATGAAAATGGGGGAGAAAGTAGAGGAGAAGAAGGAGAAAAGGAAAGGAATAGCAAACTTCAAGCGTCTCAACAGTTCTTAAAGTTTCCAGTCTGAAGATCTCAACCCACGCCAAAGGTAACTTTCCAAAACCTTGCCAAGAAAGGAAAAGTTTTAAAGACAAATCTCAAATCCCTTGAAAAAAAAAGATCAAGTTTAGGTCCTTATCCTTCTAAGTTCAGCTTTAATCAAAGGATCATATTGTTTTAGAATGTGCCATTATTGAAAGTTCAAGCACACGCATTACAACACCCCAAACCAGAAATTGTCTCCTATTTTTTTTCAAATTCATTGTGATTTGTATTTAATATCTTGCAAATTAGTATACATTTTGCTGATTTTGTGACTACACCAACTATTGGATTAAAAGTTCTATACATATAAATCATTTATGTAAATTTTCATATTAATCTAGTAGGGTTAACCAATTAGTTCATTACATGAAATTTGACAACATTAAATATATGTTAGTAAATTGAATTTCTTTAATCCAAGGGTTATAAGTATTATACTACCATAAAAAAATATGTATGATCTACATGAATAAAACTTTAAATCCAACAGTTGGTTTTGGAAAATATTAATTCAAAATTAGATGTTTTAACAAGTCTTTCAAAAAATTTAGTTGAAAAAACGGCATGCTTTACAGGAACATATTTTCCTAATCAAAGAATGTCAAGTGAAAATGAATTGCTTACATTATTATCTTGAAATTTTAAGTAACATTACCTCTTTGTCCTAACTTTACTCATCATGAAGTATCTAAAAATATGATACTCAGAGTAATAACAATTAACATGCCTGTTATTAACTTATAATACATTAAAAAAAAAAAAGGGTAAAAGTGAAAAATAGAATATCTCTTTCAGTCCGGCCAGTCCAGAATTTTTTTTTTAAATAAAGCACATTTAAAAAAAAAATTTTTTGTTCTGAAGTTGGGATGTGAGGCAATTTAAAAATTGCTTTTAAGAACTTTTGGACTGATGTTGGCCCAGAATTAAGGCAGTTAGTAGCCCAATAGCTTATTATTAGAGAGAAAAATTATATTAGGCTAACGCAGCCCACCAGCCCGCCAGCCCTTTCTTATTGCGAGTAAATCTCTACTCTACCTGCCATTGGCGCCAAAATCCACCGTCTTCATCTTCCCCTCTACTGAAACAGATTGCATATTCGCCTCCCTGTTCTTGCTTCATCGTCGGCGATGGCTAATTACGGCAGCAAAAAAGGCGCTTACGATGAAATTTATGACAAGATTCTTGATCTCCGAGAACTGATGGAAACCACCAGAAAGAATATCGTGAAATTGATGGAAGACTCACTTAAGGAGGGAATGGAAGATGATCCGGAAGATATAGCTGTAAAGGAGCATGAGAAATTTGAAGATTTCCACCGGAGGTTTCGTGCATTCGAGAGAGATTGCGTCAATTTGGTACGCAATCCTTCGGAGTTGGATTTGTATCACAAAAGGTTTCAAGAATTCTCCCAAGAACTCAATAAAATCGATAAGCAGGTCAGAGAATATCTTCAGCTATTAGAAGATATTGAGGAAGAAGCGGAAGAACAGAACCAGTCACCGACTCATCTCGAAACAAAGGAACTTCAAGCGTCCAGTGATGCAACCGGCCACACTATGTTTGGGAATCTTGAGGGAAAGATCTTGCCCCAATCTGATATGCAGGCGATGGAAAAGTTCTATGATAAGAAACATCGGGAAAAACCTCCATCACTTCCGAAGAATCCAACACCGAAGCTGAGTCCTGAGGCGGCGGCAGAAGTGAGTACCGAGGGAAAGAAGAAAATGGAAGTGTTCAGTCTGTTACCAATAGGTACCAACTGGAATTTGTGTGATGTCATAACGCATATGTATGGATTTGAACATACAGAGTCGCAGAAAATTGAGATGTACATTGATAAGGCATTCATCCGGAATCCATACCATGGTATTGGTTCATCAGAAGGAAAAAGGATATTGGATTGGCGAAGTGTGTCGAAAGCAAAGGAAGTGTTGCAAGAGTCCAAGGCTAAGATTGAGCGACTTCAGAATATGATTCCAGGATTGTTTAAGATCTGGCTTTTACGTGTGGAGAATCAAATGTACAGTCTTGTTCTTTATCTCCGCTGTATCATGTCAGGCTATGAACCAGCAATGGAAAAGTTCCAGGAACTGAGAACTTCCCTTGGAATATATAGACAGAGAAATATCGGGAGAGTTCCGATTGTAGCACACAGGATCCTTAAATTGCTGGAAATGCAGGCACCGGAGGAGCAATCGGAGTTGAACAGAGATCAGCAAGAAGCATTGTACAGGGATTGTGGTTTTGATCAGGTGATTGGTTCAATTCAAAAGATGATTTTGCTATGTAAATCTCTACTGATGGTTTCTAGGGGTGCTTCTCATGCAACGAGAATAAGTGCATATGAGCTGCAGAGAAGTGAGCAATTATTGCGGAAAGCTGAGGAGGAATTGAATGGAATGGAGAGGAGGCTTATGAAAGCAAGGAAGAATGTTCAGAAAAAGAGGAGGGAGGAGGAAGATGGTGGGAACGAAAGTAGGACTGGGACTGGGACTAGGACTGCGAGTGGGAGTGGGAGTGGGACTGAAGATGGTGGGAACGGAAGTGGGACTGGGAGTTCGAGTGGGACTGGGGGCTTGGAAATGTGAGAGAAGGGTAGGGGAAAGATGGTATGGAGGAACTGTTGATTTACATGCTATACTTGAGTAATAGGAGTGGTGGTGTGTAGATTTTTGAGGGAAAAAGTTTTGGGTTTGGTCATTTTTTGGATTTGGACTTGGTCTAAGGAAAAGAGGACCAAGTTAATCTGTTACCCTGACCTTTTACAATGACAATAAAGAGTTCTTGTTTTGATATTCATCTGAGGAGTTCTTGTGTAAATAGATTTGTTGAAAACCGTTATCCTTTTAGGAGAAATCAAAGCTAGGGAGGCTTGGACAACTCTTATTTGGTTTGGTTTGAAAGTTAATTTAGGCTGAAATTTCATTTTGCTGTTGAGAAGCCTGTTTTGTCTGTTACTTTAAGCTATAAGTAGCAGTTACTTACCATACTTATTTATGTTCCAGAAGTTGCTTAAAATTTGTTGAAAAGGAAAAGAAATGTTGGATTCCAAATTGGGGTCATTTGGAACCGCAATTTGGTAATATTGTTCAAGGCTTAATTTGACTGTAGATGCAGCATGCTGTCTTCTTTTCCTTGAAGATTTATTTATTTCTGTTGTTTTCAGTGCATTGTTACGCCTTTAGTTATGACATATTGCGTGTGCCTTTATTTATGCATGTTTTAAATTTCTTTGTTATTTCTGTAGTTATGCCTGACACTGAGGAATGATAAGGGCACATTGTTTGACCGTTGCTCTTGAATACGATTTGGTTTTGATTTCTTGGGATTGTTCCCATATTTGCTGAGTCTGATTTCCTAAGATTGTTTCCATAATTTCTCAGCTATCTTTCTCACTTGATTCATGATTTGATAGCTCCAGTTGCAGTGATATCTTATTCTCCCTCATATTTCACATAAAGGATCTGCTTTTATTTGTCACTCTTCTGCTGATCCAATGCAATTACACACAAATAGTTAAAATATTCAAACATTTCAAGGTAAAAGCTGTAAAAACAATGAAAAGGAGCTTTCACTACACTTAAGTAGAAATTGGATAACATTGAGGAGTGGATTGTGGAAGCAATGAATGCTCAGTGAAAAAGGAAGATTGAGGGTGAAGTCGGTGGGAGTTCGGAAATGTGATAGAACAGAGATGGGGAGGGAAAAGATGGTGTTGAGAGAATGTTCATTTACATGCCAACAGGTGTGGTGATGTTATTGGTTTTTGTAGGAGAAGAGTTCCAACTTTTATCAAATTAGAGGATTTGAACTTGTGTCTAACGAGTTGGCCAAAAAAAATTGTCTTTTTAAGTTTGTTGTATATCAAATAATGGGACATACAATAAAAAAAAATTATATATAAAACAAAAAATAGGATACTATTTTACAAAGATAAAAGAAGTAATAAAGGGAACTTTTAGTAACTTGATTTTTTTTAATTTAGGGGATTGGTGTTTGAACCTAGTTTTCAGTAAGTGGTGGAACCTAGTTCAATGCTATCTGAAAATCTAAATTACACACTTTTAAAAAGAGTTTTAAATGATTAAAAATTTAAAAATATAAATTAAAGATTTTAAATTTTAATTTTACTTCTACTTCATTATAATTTGTTAGCAAAATGAACTAAACTTCATGTTTAGCTTAAATTCAAGCTCAAAAAGCAACCTTAATTATTTAAGTGTAAGAAATGAACTCAACTCAAGATTTTAAGCTACAGACAGGATGCAATAAATTTGATTCAAAGAAATATCCTACCAAAATTATACAGTCAATCTAGAAAAAAAAAAAAGAAAAAGAACAATATCCAATATCCTTCTTGATAGATCTTTCTTTTTTCGCCAAATAGGAATGGTAATTTGAACTGAACTAGTTCATCACATTTTAAAATGCATCATCCCGAAATTGGGGACGTTCCTTGCATTCAATTGTATGTAGCTCAAATTGTACCCCTCCTCGTGCCACACAACAATTCTCATTTCTTCAATGTCAAAATATAATTCAAACTTTAACAATACAAATTTAATTGAGTCCACGTGAGATCATTTTGATGCTCATTTTCTTAAGAAAAAAGTGTTTTTGCAGGTTATCTTCACAAGTTTTTTTTGAAAAATCAATCTAAAAACTCATTTTTTAATTAATTATTTTAAAAACTAATTATTGAATTAAAAGTTATATATATAAATCATGCATTTAAATTTTCATATTGATGTAGTAGGACTAACTAGTTAGTTAATTACATGAAATCTAATATCATTAAATATATGTTAGTAAATTAAGTTTTGTTAATTTAAAAGTTATACTAATGACTTAAATAACTCAATGATCATCTTTTTCTACTGAAAATAAAAAATCATAAATTTGAGTCATACGGTATGCGGGTGGGGTGGAATAAGGAATGAGAAATAATTGCCTTCCATTGTGCAACCAAGATAAAAAAAAAAAAATTATAAGTGTTATATTAATATAAAAATTGACATGTATAATTTATGTGAACAAAATCTTCAATTTAATAATTGGTTTTTCAAAATATTAATTAAAAGTTGGATTTTTAGACAAATCTTCTATTTTTTTTTTTTTTTAAATGACATGCTCTATACTAACCTATTTTCCTAATCAAAGAATATCAAATGAAAATGATTTACATACAGTATAATCTTGAAATTTTAAGTTAACATTTGCTCTTTGACCTAACTTTACTCATCATGTAAGTATCTAAAAGTATGATACTCATAGTAATAACAACTAATTTTAATGATAATTTTAAGTAAGTTTAAAAAAAATTTAGACATATAACTTTTTTAAAATTTAATTAAAAGTTATTTTAAAAGACAATTTTTTGATTTTCTTTTAACAAAATTTTAAAATTGTAAGAAAATAATTTAGGACGGTGCTATAGATCTTTTTATATCACCTTTTGATATAACTTCTACATGACATTAAATAAGTGGATGCATTTAATATCACGATTCTCACATAAATTAAAAGAATCAATTATTTAAATGACACAGGTCTCACATAAATTAAAAGAACCAATTATTTAAATGACACAAAGTCTCACATGAATTAAAAAAATTAATTATTTAAATAACACATTAAATTATACAAAAAAATTATCCCAAAATCATTTCCCAATAATTTATCTTTTAACTTTTGCCAAATAAAAGCGACGTCTTGTTCTTTTTGAAATTAGTTTGTGTTCTCCTAGATACTTTTAAAATTCATAATCATTTAAACTCAATGGATTCCTATAGCGTGTAAAACTGTAAATCCCTCCAGTGATACTCCTGGTATTGTTTATCCTTACAAATTTCATTAATGGCTTGATTGATACAATGCTTAAAATTTAACGAATAATAAGTAGCATAGTAGATAATGAATAATAGATGATAAATTTTAATTATTATAATTATTTGATTGTATAATAATTAATGATTTTCATTTAATATTAAATAACTAATAATGATATGTTTAAAATTAATGAAGTATTTTTTATATATTTTATTATTAAAAGTAAATGAATAATAATTAAAAAAATGATTTAGGAACAACTTTTTTTTTACTATTTTTTTATACAGTCTGACGTATCATTAAAATAATTGACTCTTATTATTCATTTATTTATTTAATGACATGTAAAAATTATATAAAAACATGGTATAAAAAGATTATCCATATATTATCGCCTTTAAAAAAATAATCTAAGTGAAAAATATTAAACAAGCACTATTATGGAAAGAAAAAAAAAATTAATTGTTATCTATTTATTATATTAAATTATTTAATCAAAATTTATGTAAAATTTAAATTAGAACAACTAATCCTATATTTGAATTGAGGGGAATATAAGGGAGGGAAAAAGAAGAGAGGAGAATTTTATCATACTATTCCTCTTCC